GTGTAATAAAATTAAACACTGGCTGTTTACTTTCGCATACCAAATTTGTCGCGTAGAGCAAAATTACACATAAATTGTTTAAAATTGACTCAATATGACCACTAAATATTTATTATTACCAAAAAATGCTTTTTACTTTCAAAATGTTTGCAATGTTAAACATTTCATGTGTATATTTATGTGTATATTTTAAACATCTCATGTTCAAAATCATATCTTGAACATCTTGTGCGTATATTCACAGATGTTCTGGTTGAAAAATAAACACTTTGCAGTAGTAATTTTACATGCACTTTTTAGATGGTAGATGATGTGAGGTGCGATGACGTAATAAGATGTTATGTGATGTGATGGCAGGTAATGCATTACATTAGGGGTATTCTCGAAGTCTTTCACGATGCACGAATTGCACGAAATGCAAAAATACCATTCCAAATTTCGAAGAGTATGATAGCACCCCATTGCAAAGTGGTAGCATGCATGGTAGCAAGCAGCGAAATTATAAATCAAATACAATAACAAGAGACAGCAAAAAACAAATGAATGAATGAAAATATTCGCATTAATTTAATGTAAGTCCTATGAATTGATTTATGCAAAAAAATCGCCCTAAATTTTTTTTTTGTTGATCGCACTTTAGATCTACGTGTGCGATATACATATAATGTGATGTGATATCATGTAATGTCATGTCATGTCATATCATGTGATTTAATGTCATGTGATGTCATTACATGTAATGTCAAATCGTGAGATCATATGTTCTGTGCTGATTATTATATCAATAACATCGATAACTGTATAGACAAGGATATCGGTAAATTGATAAATATATCGATAACAAGTTCGATTAATTAATCGATAGTAATATCGACAACAAAATCGATAAAAACAGCGACAACAAAATCAATAAAAACAGCGACAACGAAATCGATAAAAAAATATCGATAACATAATCTCGAGAATTTTACACATCATTAATTGAATTATTTCGACATTTTCTGTTTGGATATTTTTTTCTCGAAAATCTTGGTTTTCGAAATATTTTTATTCGAAATTTGGGTTTTTTGTTTTTTTAGTTTCTACATTTTAAATTTCGACATATCGTACCAGACCGTATTTCTCTTTGATACATTATTAGAATATCTCCATTAAAAAAAAAGTCAAAAGACCCAATAGTGCGTCACTATACATACATATATATGTATATAGGGATCTTAACGACAACCGCTTAGCCCAGTCCGTGCGACAAGCAAAAGACTGCGAGCTACTAGCGCATATTTGCGGCCGGGGGATAATTTACGCGACTTTCTCAACCAAACGGAAAAAGGCAACCATCTTGTCAACAAGCATACAAACATACATACATAAATATGCACATATGTATGTATATATGGCTGTATATTCAGTTTATTGAACGCGCATACTAACGCTGCCACGACGTCACTGACAATACTGTCAACTGCAACTGCGTTGTCACGATGCACTCGTATGTGTTTGTGTACAAGTGACGTTGTGTGTATGGTTTGTTTTTTGTTGCTGTTGCTACATTTGCTCTTCCATTGTAGCCAGCCATACATTCAAATATATATATGTACATGTCCATGCATCATTATTGTTGACTTGATTGTTGCAATCGTTGTTGATATTTGCCTGTCAATGTATCAACGCCGTCGCAATGTAGGCAATTTCCGTCAATGGAAATTGTCTGAGAATCTCATCACCGCAACAGTTCCACGTTCGCATTTTGTGGCGCTTTAAAGTTACCACTGACACTTGGTGGAAGCGAATGGTTATATGTTTGCTCAATGTGGCTCCATGTATTTTTCACACACATACTGTCCATATATTATTTATCGCTATGGGACATTCCATTCTTTAATGCGAACAAAAGAAACAAAAAGATTAATTTAAACCAGGTTGCATGGTCTAAACATGGTGGGTAATATGGAGCAGAATAAAAAATCTCAATACAAAATTTTGCCTTTAGGTCATTTGGCATACTTTGCCGACCCCTGAAAATGCTTTTAGCATAAAATCGTTTATATAACAAATTTTGTAGGAAACTAAATTGGAAAAAGTTAAACTCGGCCAAAATCGCTTAGGCAGTTACAGCGCCAAATAAGATGAAGAATAAGAACTTAAAAAAACTGTATGCTCCTGCAAACTTTCTAATAAGAATTTCCATGTATACAGTCCTTTTTCGAAAATAGTACTTTCTTGTTCGCTCATATCTTCCATACTACTTAAACTAAGAAAATATTATTGATGTGTTTCAATATCTAATATAATGCGAATTTGCAGGGAAGTGAGAAAGCTACCATTGGAAGGGCGTGATCGAGTTACCATCTTCTTCTCATTATGTAGCTCACAAACAAAATATTTGAATATGAATTTGCGATAACGTAAAAATAAGCCTTTTTTCTCTAACAAAAACAAAGTTGCGGAACAAACGTTGCTGGTGAACGTGTTAGATATTCTGCTAACATCCACAATAAAATCTCAATTTTTAATTTTGGTCCTAAAATTACCACGCCCATCTCAATTAGATTCTTTGAGTTCAAATAAAGTTGCGAAACAAATATTTTTAACGAATTGATATTCTTATAAAATTTTTTTTTTTTCCATTTTTATGAATTTTCCTTAGTTCTTAACAGTTAGGAACAGCACTTATACTTGCAAAATTGTAAGAAATTAATGTGACCGGAAATTGAAAGATTAAAAAAACTTAACTTTAGAGTATAGATATACGTATGTGCTTGCAAAAATTTTGTGGAATTTTCAGAATTCAATACGGCGGTTAAAATATGTCGGCCCGAAAATAGGGCATTTTATTTTAGCCGAACTATAACTGACCAAAAATGTAATCAGACCGTTAGAAATTGCAAATTTTTTTAATTTTAAAAACCTTTCTGTACATGCCTATTTAAAATACGAAATTTCGACTCAAGTAGTTTGTGAAAAGAAGGCTTTTTCTTAAAAATGGTTCTACTTCTAACATGAAACACTCCCATAGGTGTGAAAGCTTTTTTTCGAAATACAGGCAGTGAAGTTATCTCCTAACTATCAACGCATTGCGGATATTTAATTAATCACACGGTTAACGGCCAAATATCAAGAAAAAAATTTACAATGTTTTGAGCGTGTAGAATTTTTTCGAAAAGGCAACTTTTTTTCTCATTATACGGTGGAAAGATTTCACTAAATTTGGTTCTCTAAACACTAAAATTATTTATGAGAATATAGTCAAGATAATGTTTAAATTCTTTAGAGGTGGCCTGTAAGCGGAATTTCCAAGCAACTAATATAAATATAAAACAAATTACTTTGCCTAGCAGAAACTATTTTTCCATAACTTTGTCTTCCTTGATTAAATAGGATGCACATTAAACTTGTTAAATGCGATTTTGCGCAAAAAAAAATAACAAAACACTTTTCAAAACGACATTTTAACAATTACCCGCTCAAATTCGCCGCACAGCCACTCTGCCGCACAGATTTCAATAAAACTTCATTACAAATGTCAAAGAGGCTTTAAATTCGGTGTCGAATTTTCAGTCAAGAGCAGTTTAAGTTATATAGTTAACTCGCCAAATAAAATTATATTTACTGCATTGTTTCAAGAATAAGAGTTTTCAAATTCAAACCGCGCTTTCTTCTGAAGAGTTGAAGTTAATGGAAATATAAATAAACGATTGAACTTGTCGTTCGAGTTCCAACAGGAAACAGCTTTTTTAATTGATCTATTAGTCTATAGTTGCCAGTTTGTTTTTTTTTTTTTTGAAAGGGTTCTTCCAAAAAGGTTATACGTGTCGTATGAGTAATTTTATTTTTAGACTGACTGCCGCACAGTGCACCACTGCAGTGGTCTGAAATCAAAAAGTAGGGTTAAAAATAAAGTAGAGCCTCTAATTCTTAACCGATAAAAAAATTCCTTTTTTAAATAGGTAAACTAGGCTAAGTTCTTAAAAGATCGCTTGAGCGTTATTGGTTAATTTTTATATATTTATATTAAATTTTTTAGTGCAAAGTGCAGCGAAAGTAACAATTTTGAAGAAAATCGGTTCTCCTGTTCCTGTTAGTGAATTTTAAATAATAAAAATTAGTTGAAAAAAATTAAAGGGGATCACCGAGTCAACAGTATACCAAAATTTAATATGCTACTTTAATACTGTATACCTAAAATTTTTCTAAAACTTCAAAAAAAAAGTTAGCTTTGGTACATTTTTTGTTTAATATTTTACATTTTTGCTGTGCATTTTTTGTCGTTCCCCACTATAATTGTTTTCTACTAGTTATTATTATTTAACATTACTTACCAAGAGCAAGATAAACGATTGTCTTCAAGATTGTCACTTTTTCTGCTCTTTGGGCTAAAAAATTTAATACAAATAAATTAGAAACCTAGTATAACTTATTTTATAAAGTATAGTCTAAAATCGGATAAGAATTTTGTATGTTAACAAACTTAAAATCACTTGAGACCATAAGAATAATCCATTTTCTAAATTTTGTTTAGGATCTAATTAATGATTCCATTTACTACTCTGAATTTCTCGGGCTGATTATTTTAATATCTCCAGCAAATCTCTTCATTTTCAAAAATTTGTTTATCTTCATGCGCTGACAGCTAATTATTTTTCTCATGCACTAATATTTAGGGTGCTTTTAAAGTTTAATAAAAACCCAAGAAAATTAAATATTTATTTTTCATCACCAATACCTGTTTTTAAATAAGCCATAGACGATCTTTATCGTTAGTTTAATTGCCCCTTTATGGGAGTTTTTATATACGTGTACATACGTGTTAAGAAAATTGTGTATGTACATCAAAACATACACACTTAATTAACTCTTGCCTTACCTAAATCGGTTTAAAATGTTCAACGATGCACATTTGTGTATCGTATCTATAATACTATTTGTTAATGTTATATTTGGCTAATATTGATGATTCTACATATTTGTTTTTAATATAATCGAAAATAGCTAGTACTCACCTTTTGGGGCAAGAGGAATCCACTGTCAAAGCTGACCTTTGATCCAATGCCACGAAAGAAGTTCTACAGCAAAATTTATAGAAAAATTTTAAGTGAATTAGTTAAAGCCATAATGAAGAATTCAGCATAGCAACTTATTTAAAAAAAAAATTAAAATAATTGGGTTTACATTTAAAATTCTGAAAACTTTCGAAATGCACGGAAGATAAAAATAAATAAGATTTCTAAATGCTACTCCATTTCCAGATCGACTTATCTCGGCAGCCAGTTCGACAGCGCCCTACCTCAGAAAACTTTTTAAGATGGCCTTAGTTCAAAAGTTGATAGAAAAACACCCTATCTAAGAAGTTGGTTGAAGAACTCTTTAAGCATTTGAGAAAAATTAATCACACAAGCATTTAATGTTTCCTCAATGGATTTCAAACAATTTGATATACATATATAATATTTTTTTGTTTTCAATTTAAAAATTTACGTTTTCATAGCATTGAATCGCACGGTTTCGGAGATTTTTTCTGTTATCCGACTATCAGGCCAGGTCGGATATGACTAAAATCCGGCCGGATTTTCAGTTTTCGATTATAGAAGATTCTATTTAAAAATCTAGTTCAGCATTTTTTTTTAGTTTTTGTAATCAATTTTAATAGTGTCTAATAAGTAACTAGGAGTTGAAAATTTATACATTTTTCATTATAAAAAGAAGCATTTCCACATTACCGGTCAGGAACCGATTTCAACACAAACACTCTTTTTGAGTTCAATGAGGAAGGTGGTTCACAGAGATAATTCATTGCCAAAGTAAACAAATTTGGAAATTGGTGCTTATACATTTGTTAGTGTTTGGCCGGGCTTCTCCTCCCATTTGTGGTGTGCGCATTGATGTTGTCACACAAGGGGAGGGACCTACAGTTTTACGCCGACTCCGAACGGTGATTGTATTTTTATGAGAAGCTGTTTTTCATGGCAGAAATAGACTCGGAGGTTTTCCATTGCCTGCCGACCTCTGGATCCGTCAGAAAATCGACAGGCCCTGAGCGGCATTCACAGAGGTCACGGAGGCGGAGCTTCGTCTGCCTCAGGAGACTCGGACCACAATAGCTCAACTTCGCACTGGCTACTGCAGCGGGTTGAACTCATGCCTTTGATGCAGATGTGCCAAGCGAGTGTCCGGCATGCAAAGAGACACCCCACGACTCGAAATCACTCTCTTCGCATACACGGGAAACCCCACAAAACTAACGTACTTGTCCCTGTGGACAGACTACATAGAGGCTGCAGGCTTATTGGGTCTTCCGTTAGTTGAGCTTGACGACAACGACTGAGGCACTAGCCGATCAGGGCGGGCCTCTTAATTCCACCACCACCAGCGGCCGTCTTTAATTCCACCAAATTAAAGGATCTTCTTGTCAGGATATAAGGGGTAGCTGTAAATATTTATCCATTTCTCCATTGTTTGGCTATCCACATCACTAGAATACTGATACTGGAATCAGTATCAGATCCGTTGCCTATTTCCTCAAAGCATTGGCAAATATTCAGGTCTCGCTCTTCAGTAGAAACTTTCACTAGAATTCGACTTTTTCATATGATTCATTAGGCGTCTCCATGCTGATTTATAATTTCGAATTATTTGGTTCACCATCTTCCCAGTTTTTAGATTTATTGATGTCAGAAAACAAATTGAGTTTTGAAACGTGTGTCACTAAATATTGCAACAATGAAGCCTTACCGGGCGATTCGGGAAGCGAAACGATATGTAACCGTGCACATTAGTTTGATTTTCATCACATTGAAAAATAAAAAAAGTCAGTCACGCGTGTTTTCTTTGCCGCGTTCATTGTTGATTATCTTTTGTCTTTGACGTTCCTCTATTTACCAAAAATAATCGATAAATTCAGGTTGCAGACGGAGAAGCTGTCTTTTTAATACGGTATTATATCAAAACTTGGATTTCAGAGGAGAAATTTTGTATTCTTAATTACGTATTGGATAGTTCAGCTCGAAAAAGCAGAAAATCTAGCTAAACAAAAAAACCTAATACATATAACAATAATGTGAAACTTGTTAAGAATAGCAGTCTACCAGATATCCGATCGGATATCCGAATCCGGCTCTTACTTTTTACAGGATATCCGGAATCCGGTTATCCGGCAAAATCTCTAACCGGCACATCCCTACTTAAAACCTTTATTTAGGCGAAAAAGTACCGAAGTTATTAATTCTTTCATTGTCACCGAGAAAAAACATAAATCTTTTTAATAACCTTGGGCAGTTTTCAAATAGAATGTTCATATTACAGACAATGGAGGTTGGCATCAAGCAGAGCAAATCTGTGAAGTTTCAAAAGTGTGCTACCAAACTAAAAAAAAAAAAAATGCCACCATGCAGAATATCTGTCGCAATAGATAATTTAATTTAATTTTTTAAATTTTACGATGTTTTTAATGTCAATAGCTTTAGATATTTTTAAATATTGAAATCATACGGTGAAAATGCTCTTCAGTCCAAAACGAATTACTCTAGTGATACGAATTAAGTGTATCACCATATGAAAAAAAAAATTACATTGAGTAAAAGATGACTATGATTTGAGAGAAACTAAAACTCCATTTTTACAATTTTTACTGGCAAACTCGAAATTCATTCTAAAATTGTTATATAAATGAAGAAGGTAATAAACAAGTGCATAAGGAATACTGTTTAAAAATCTCCCACGCCAATATTTAATTACTTTTGAATAAGATGGCTTTTATATTAAGGCGCGCGAGTAAACATGTTAGAGGACTGTGTTTGGTGCTACGGGGCGTATACGTTACATACGCAACTACGGGCTTATGCGCATTAGTGGTTATTTTTACTTCTTTTAGTACCTATATCTTTTTCAAATTTTAATTTAAATACAATTTCGGGTTGAAATCTTGTTATTTATGCAAAACTGAAGATAATGCATTTTCTACGATACATAGGTGTATTAGAAATTTCGTGAGATTTGCTCATAAGTTTAGAGAAGTTGGATGCAATATTCAGCCTCAGCAGATGTATCGGACATTATTAACCATTATGCGGAGCCCAGCGAGTTTGTTAAGTGTCGAGATCTAAAACTATTCATCTTCAAAATCGAATTCATCCGCTGATTGGATATGCTAAAGATAGTATTTCAATTATTGAGAGTGGAAATGATAGTTTTCTTTATAGCAAAAATCGAGTCCGATATGTCAAACGTGCTGGAATGAGAGTTAAAATCTTGACACAAACCATGGAATGATTCGTTTAGTTCAAAATTAGTTTTGTGTGGATTCAAAAATAGAGGTCGAAAGTGTCCTGACACTCGAGAGGGAAAATTAAAATTTACCTCAGCCAGAAGGGCCGGGCTATTAATCAATATGCCTGTTATACCGCCTAAGCAGCGTTTGCCCAGACCCTAACTCTAGACCTCCATACGTAGTGCTTGGCAACTACAGAGCAGATGATTTACCATTTCTTCTTGATATAATGAATAACAGCTACGACAAGAAATGTTGTGTCCCAGTACCAGTCTTGCAGCATGGCTTTCAAGGGCCCAGTAGCCTGTGATAAGGACTGTTAGTTGAGACAAATACAACCAGCTCATGATGAACGCAAAAATATGAACTACCAAAAATATGAACTAGCTATTAAAGGAAGTCCACTTTTTAAAATGAGGCATATATATTTCTACTCTACTATTTTCAGACTCCGATTCTGCAGTTAAAAACATTTAAGTTTTGTTTGACACTTTATGATCCTCTTTTTCAACCTCTAAAATGGACAAAAATATTTTGTACTGGAAAACGAAACGAAATTTAAAATCCTAGTCGTGAATTATCTATCTTATGATCGTTTCACCAACGTCCGGTTTCGACCGGAAATGGGTCAAACAGACCGTATGTCCATTATAGTACCGGAAAGTCCACGTATCTTTGTCCGCAGAATCCGAATCCTTTGGTATGTCTCATTCAATGCAGAATGCAGCTCTGGTCAATTTAACCCACTACCTATTTGAACCAGAATTCGGAATAATCCTTTTGTATTATTCCCAGATTATTAAATTTTTAGAAAGTGAAGTTTTGCTATCATTTGAGGGGGTATACCGTAGAACTGAGTTCTAGATACAAATGTACCTATATACATATTTTATAAACAAACTGTGTGAAAACTTATAGAATACGTAAACGCACACGAAATAAACCCAGAGCAGCTCTTAACAAACACCTAATGGGTAAATATCTCAAATTAAAATAAATTTTATTTGTATAAAAATGCACATAGCTACATTTGTACCTAGGTTTCTACTGTACCTAGTAGTTTTCAGGTTTCCGAACAAGGGTTAATTAACATATTTTTATGACAATGATCTAAACATAATTACATGGAAAATGCCACTGAAGATGACACAACACTAAAACCGGTTTGTCTCCAAACCAAACTTGACAAAAGATGACGGCAATTCGTTTCAAAATAAAACGCTTTTGCTTAACATATATTGAAAATTTGACTATAATATTTATTTATTACGACTCATCATCAATGCTTGAAAATTGCAGATTCAGCTTTAACATAATTATTACTCACAGAATATTCTTCAGGTTGAGGAAATGCACTTTCACGTATTCAACAGCAACGATTAAAAATTCAAATAACACAAAGGTTCACAGCGATCACTTAACTTTTGAAAGCACAAAATTACTTCTGTTTAATATTTTATCTACTTCATCAACTTTAAACGGAACACTTAGTACGCTTTATGTAAATGTGAAATCCGAAAATATATAAAAGTCAGCCTAAAAAAGCTTAATTTTCTCCATTTACTCTCCAACAACCACTTGTGTTTATAATTATTTATTACTTCACTTTATCGTTCAAGTGCAGCAGTAAATTTTACCTGACTTGCATTCGCGCCGAATGTCCGTTTCGAACTGAAGTCACAAATGCACGCGACTTGCCGCCGAGACTACTACCACTACCACCGTTCGTTTCCGCTGCTGGTACTAATGTCGGCTTTTGATTGCCGTTGTTCTAGCTGGTTTTTGTATTTTATTACTTTTGTTGCTGTCGCTGCCGCTATTGCTGCTGCTGTTGCTGTTGCTGTTGCGCTTGTTAGTAGTGTTGCTCTTACTCCATTGAGCGCCAACAGTGTTTTGGTGGATGTCGCTTCGTTTGTTTGCTATGTTTGTTTTGCCAAAGATGTTCGTTTGTGTCGGTTCGATGCTCGATTGGTTTTTAATTTGTTCGCTTCTTGGTTCGTGCAACTTGTTCGTTTGTGACACACGCGCTCTATGTTTAGCTCTATGTTTACTACGCCCTCCCTTACGCCCCCTTTATAGCCAACAAAAAGTTGTTTATACTTTGTTGTTGCACTCTTTTGGAGCCTCTCTCTCTCTCTTGCTCTCGCTCGCTTGCACGTTGCCACGCACACACACACACACACACCCACACCCACCTTTTTCCTAGACGACCTTGATGTGGCGCAGAATCCTCTGCTTGTTTTGTGCCATTCTTCTTGCAATTGTTGCTGTTGTTGGTGCTGTTGTTGTCGTTGCTGCTATCACCATGGCGCGCTTTCGAATGCTGCCGACGCTGTTGTTTATTGCGGTTGTGTTCAGTTGGAAAAGTTGTTGCTATGTTTTTTTCCTTTCCAATGTTTTGGTTTGTTATGGCGGTTTTTTCTCAATGGTCGACAATTTGTTTTTTTTTTTTGTTTTCTCTTCTTTCTCAAACGCTGCCGTCGTTGTTGTTCAAGTTTTTCTGCTTGATTTATCTATTTCCGGCAAAGCAATGTGTGTTAACGGCTCCAATTATATACACACACAAATACATCGTATGTAAATAAATATACGTTTGTGTGTGTATGTGTGTGTGTTTAAAAGTGATTATCATTGCTGCCGTTGTTACTCAGCTAATGGATGGGTGTTTGGTATTGTTGTTAGAGTTTTAATTGATTGTTGCTTTGGCTGTTGATGGTTAGTGTATGTACATACATACATACATACATATATGTAGCTTGTTTTAGCATATCTGTAAGTAATTAAAACAAACGCGAGATTAGCAAAATGGCTTGGCCACTTAGCGTGTTACGCTATGGTAATTTTATAAGAATGCAATCGCCGGCGGCCGTTTGTCGTTCTCACTCCACTTGTCGTTAGTCGCCAACTTATGTTTACTGGTTTTTTTGATATTTATGTATGTCGAACAATATTTAAATGCTGGTAGCTTCGATGGCCGAAGTGGGGAGTTCTATAACTGGTTGCGAACCGAGGAATGCCTGGTCTGAGCCAACTCTGGCCAAATGGTTAGATGTCTCATTATCAGGTACTCCCGAGTTACTTGGCACCCAGAGAAAAGCTAGCTCGTTATGTTTAAATAATTAAGTCGAGAACTAGTTGGAAGTAGTTAGAGGGCTGACCACAAGGGCGGCGCGAAAAACACAAAATGTTTGATACGAAAATTGTATAGGTTAGTTAAAGTAACATCAATATATACTAGTTATATTAAGAGAAGTTTCTTTTTTTTTAACAGATAATCTCTCGAACGAGTGGTCCGATTTTCATGAAATTTTATATATAAATAGCTTTCAGCAACCACCATGGCCCAAAAAAGTGTATTTTTTCCGGTAAATGGACCAGGGCCCGATCTATTCCAAAAAATCTTATTTATGGTCCGATTTGCTTGAAATTTGTACGTAGGTAGCTATTTTCCTAGATTAGCATACACAATCCCTTTTTTTCGGTGAGTGGACCAGGGCCCGATCTATTCGAAAAAATCTTATTTATGGTGCGATTTGCTTGAAATTTAGTAAGTAGGTATCTTATTGATGGGATTAACATATAGAATACATCTTTCTGATAGGTACGCCAGATACCGAGGTATTTGAAATCAATCCCATACTCAGGAAGAAATGTAGAAGTTATTGAAAAAGGAGGCGTGGCGCCTTCCAAACATACTGAAATTTTACTTATCGGTAAATACATATCGTTACCTTAATTCATAGAGGCCCTAACCAACACTTTTTTCGAAACTGCGTTTTTCACATATTTTCGTAGGATGTATTAAAATACACCTTCAATAAAAACTGTAAAGTGTTAGTATCAAAAACAACGGAGAATATGCCACATGCCACATGTTTTTGATACTCACTTTATAATGTTTTTTGCTTCTGTTGTAAAATAGAAATTTGTTGGTTAGGGCCTTTGTGAATTACGATATATACTACTTCGGTACCTGCGTTTGTGAGTGAACCTTTTCTAAATTTACGAAACAATTTTAATCATTTTTTTTATGTGTTTCAGCGGGTCCCTGTATTATTTAGGTTCACAACTTGAAGATTCAGGTGGCGCTGCACTATGGGACGACAGCGGCCAAAAGTCAAAAAACCAAACTAGCTAATTAAAAAAAAATTAGTATGTATATTTATTACCTAATATCCTACTAAGTCAGATCAAAAAGAATTTTTGGAAAAAATGCATTTTTGTAGCCTCAAGGTGGCTTCAAAGTGGATGCAATGTAAATGAATAAATTTTAAATACAAGATTTTGATTTTGAGTGATGTATTTTAAGTAGGCTTTTTTAGGAACTTGACAACCATTTAGTCAAATGGTATTTGTGGATACTTTACAAGTGTTTCTATGTTGTGGTAGTATACTTTGATTTTTGTGTTGCCTGTTGCATAACCGAGATATTTTGAATTAAAATTCGGCTTAATTTACAAATTATAAACATTTCAAAACGGAATCTTTAGAGATCAGGATTTAAAAAGGACCTGAGAAGCGAGCTAAAATAGTAATACAGGAATTTGGACGCAAGTATGTGTGTGAAGTCTAAAAAATTTCAGCTGCGAAAACCTGCGAGCTTGTCTTATATTGCATTTTTTGTAGTGGCACCTCTCGTTAAATTTGGTGATATTTTTAAAGTTTGGGTGAAAGAAAAAAATTCCAATTGAACCAATCAAGAATGTGCAGTAAACAATTTTCTAAAAACAAAATTTGGAGACTCTACGAAGGTAAAAAAAGATAAAATTCGACGACTGGTTGCAGCATTCAAGCAAAAGTTGACAGCAAGTTCTCGGAATAGATAAATTTTTGAGAAGAAGTATTCAGATTGGCTTCAGACAGAGTTTGTTGTGCAAAATCAAGTACCCATTGAGGTACAGAATGAATTCTTTGTGACGCATCTGCATTTTGATTTTATTATATGTAAATTATTTAATGGCTTGACTGAGTCCTGCATCGTGTTCTTTTTTAGATAACTTCTGCACACGTGGGAAGGCCGTATGTGCTATATGAAATGGCTTCAAATAGAACAAAAAGAAGAAGGGTTCAAGATC